GTTGACTGATTCTAGGGCCTAAGTCAACCCATCTAGGTGAAACTTAATCCACCTCAAAAAAAAAAAAAAAGAAGAGGCTAAGTAGTCAGAGAGTTGTAACTGATGTGAAGAGCAATGTTAATCTGTCTCGTAATAAACTAAAACAGGAGGTATGTAACCAAACTGATGTGCCTGATTAAAAACCTACTCAAGTGGACTCCATAAGTGTAGGAAAAGGGTTAAGAGACCCAGGGACCAAGGTTTCTGTTCTACACTGTTTTCCTCTAGTTCAACATCAAACGAGGTCAAGACTACTGCTGTACTCAGTTTCATACCGCGTTAGCAACATCTTGCTTGCAGGCTTAGCAAGACCTTACTTACAATAAGTTCCCCCAAGCAGAATCAAGCTCTATTCAATTAATTTGTTTCAATGAAGAACCACATCATGACAACATGTAGTAAATGCTAAACTAGATCTTTAGTATGTAAACCATTTAACTGCATATTTAGAAGTGTCTCTCACAGCAAGGGTTCACAGGCGGCATTGTAATCGAGCTGACCAACAAGGCAACGCTATCCCAAGCCACCAGCCTGCATGTGTGGTTATAAGGAACCTCCTAGAAAAATGGCCCTATGAGAGGGGGAGAGGAATAAGACATGTTTTAAAGTTTGAAGTCAGTGATCAAAATTTATTGTTCCACTGTGCATTCTTCTGCCCGTGACTGCCTTGAATTACTCAGCAAAGGTAAATGAGCCTAGAAAAGGGGAGAAACAGTTGAAAAGGCTTCGAAAGATGTATGTGAATTTTGCTGGACTTTTGAGACTTTGGAGATGTCATTTCACAAACGATAGGGTGGAAGTTCAAAGAAATCTTTGCTAGTAAAAGGAAAAAGTAAAAAAATCCTCAAACCTCAAAAATCCAAACAAGACACAGAATGGGAAAAAAAGGAAGAAGTAGTGGCAAAAGTTGAGGTTTGGAGCAGTTACACCTCTATCTGCAAACTCTTTCTGAAAGCTGCTGACAGAGCTTTGGCATCTGATCATCTCCTAACTGCTGATTAACATAGCACTGTTTTATATTTAACTCAGTCCAGAGCAGGAGGGGCTGGGGGTGGGGTTGCACTGCTTATAAGGGGAGCACGGCAGGAACAATGTTCTTCTGTGTCGGTTCCTCCGTCTCCCAGCCCAGCTGCACTCCTTTTGATCACTCACATTTCCTCCAAATGCATGTTGTCTTTAATTAATTGAGTGTGTTGTGGAAAGCGAGGTGGGGGAGACGGGCAGAGAACAGCTATAGCTACACAATTAAAATACAAACCAAGTCTGCTGAGTTTACTGAATGCAAGCATTGAAGTGACTAATAAGTTTTTTTATGGTTAATGTTTTGCTGTGAGAACAGACCCAGGAGAAGAGATGGAGGGCATGGATTTTGAGGATAAGAAGTCCAAGAGGTACTGCATGAAGGCAAAGCATGTGGCTGTCATCTGCGGCGTCGTGGTTGTTGTAGGTCTTGCTGTGGGGCTTGGCGTGGGATTGAGCAGACCTAAATCTCAACAACCTTCAGAGGGAACAGACCAGCCAACAAACCCTCCTCCCCAAGTGGAGTTGGGGCCTTGTCCTCCTAAAAATGACGAGACTGGAGACTGGAGACATTTTAGGCTACCTACTTACATCAAGCCTGTCCACTACGATCTGGAAATGAAGCCTGAAATGGAGACAGACATTTACACTGGGACAGTCAGTATTTCTATTGCTTTGGAAAAATCTACCAGCTACCTGTGGCTCCATCTGCGAGAGACAAAGATTACAGAAATGCCCACACTACGGAAATACTCGGGACAGCAGATTGCTCTGAATGACTGCTTTGCGTACCAGCCACAAGAGTACATAGTGATGAAGGCAGAAGCAGAGCTCTCTGTCACTGATGAAAGTGATCCCTATATACTCACCCTGAAGTTTCAAGGCTGGCTGAATGGTTCCCTGGTTGGGTTTTATAGGACCACCTATACTGACAACGGACAGATCAAGTAAAGCAGTTTTTCTTTTATTTATGAAACTTTCTTCTTTATTTCTGCTTGCTCAGGCCTGCTCTATCCCTGTTTCAGCTTCTCAGTCTTGTCTCTCACCAACTTGCTGACGTTTCTGGGCTGTTCTTTAATTTTCTCATTCCCTTAAGTAAGATGCTGTATTCAAAACCCTTTGGCTGTTGACAAGTGAACGAGAGGTTTGTTATTATTATTCTGAAAAACTTTTTCATACTCTATTGGTCCCAGGTTACCTTGGAGCTTTACAAATGGCTCCCTCAGAGAGCTGGAGGGATCGAAGCCTGTTTTTATCTCTGTGGTAAAATAAATAGCATACAGCTTTCACCATTCTCTCCTGTCACTCCCCAAGGTAACAGTTTTGGTGTAACATGTTCTTGTGATAGTTTTCCTGACATCGTGCCTCCTTGATGTTGTAAGCCTAAGGAATATCCAAACAAGAACTTCCTGCTCCTTCCTGCAGCTGGTTTAAATTATGGGTGGGAAAGCCCAAATGATGAAGGTTATCTTTGACTTGCATTTTTTGTACTCCAGCTCTTCCTTTTTGATATATCAATAGTTATTGAAAGAATACAAAGCCTCTCCCAGTTCAGCTAACCCATTCTATTTCCCTGGTTTGCACTACTTCAAGGTGGAAGCCTGAAAAAGCCATTGCCCACTGCTCAAAGGCATTTCGTCGCAGTTAACGTATAGAGAGAACACTCAACCATTTACCAATATTTCAGTTTCTGAAGTGACTCATTCCAGCCTTTACGGCTAGAAGATAAACTTGTCTAGACTTTTCCAAGGCCCTGTACCAGCAACATGGAGACAAATACTGGTGTGTTTTCACAGCACTTGTTTGCCCTGTTGGGACAATGATGTTATGAGTGAGAGTAGCATCAGCTTCATTCAGACGCTGACAGGCAATGCCAGGAGTAGCAGCAGTGACAGGCACCACCAGCAGCAAATCCAAGAGGCAGAGGAAAAAGCAAGCATTGATTTTTCATACTTAAACATAGTTATCTGAGCTGAGAAGAAGCCATGAAGAGAACAGCTCGAACCCCAGACAGATCTTTCCCTCTTGTTTTCCTCCATCTACCACCTCAATACTGCTCTGACTTGGAAGGTGCTTTGTTTTATACTTTGAGCATCTGACATCTCCACAGTATTTTTAAAGTGTAACCTCTTGGCATCTTTCTGAGTTGAGGTGTGTTGCTTCCTTTTTATCAGTGGAGGATACCTAGATATTAAACGAGTTGCCCCAGGTCTGTCACAACACCAGAACAGCAGGACCAGAATGCAGGTCTCCTGAGTCACAGAGCAGGAGAGGTGAGCACCCATCCCTCAGATCCAGATGGTGTAGGAAGACAAGGAGCAAGCATCTGACATCAAGAAGAAAGAACTTCTAAGCTAAAGAAAGCATAAAATGTGAGGTCACTTTGAAAGAGTTCCTACTTCTTGATTTGGGTGCTGGAAGCTACAATTGCAAGGATGATCCTAGTCAGCAGGCCGCAAACACTCAATACAGAAAGGAACTTGAGTGTGTAAGTTTATTTGTTAGGCTTGAGAAGGGCTCTAATAAGAATGAGGGAATGGTGACTTCTGAAATGCTTTTCATGTGGTTAAGTTTGGGCAGATTGTTTGTGGGGGTGGAAGAGGAGATGTACATGATAGTGATAAGTAAAGCTTTGAAATGAAAGCAACTACCAGCCAAGTGGTGCTGCAACCACCAGCCAAGTTGCTGCTATGCGGCATGAGTGTAGGTGATAGGATGGGGTGAGGAAGGATGTCAAGGGAAGGGTTTTATTGCTTATTAAAACCGCATTTTCCCTTGGCTTTCTACTCAAAATCAATGCTGACCAGAATTAGCTTTATTTCACCTTTGCCTGAGGAGACATCACCCTTGGAAAATTTCAACCCAAATAGTTCCTTTTTTGTCATGTTGTAAGAAAACACAAATTGCATCAAGTAACAGCAAATGTCAAGGCAGTCTATTAATAGTGGATGTCAGAGAGAAAGGGGCTGAGGTGAAAATGAGAGCCAATGTGTAATTAACCTACTCCCCCTTCCCTTCTGGGCAGTGTTAGAAGCACTGAGAGAATTAATAACACTGGAAAGTCAGTTCCCAGGGCTGAGCTGCTCCCCAGCTGCCTATCTGTGAAGGCAAAGGTTTGCCAAAGCATTGCTATAATGCCTTTTGTTTACAAACTGGGCACATGTCCAGGCTCTGCTGTCGCTTAGATTCAAATCTCCCACCACATTTTGTGGAAAACAGGTAGACGTGTGCTGAACATGCCTGCAAGTCTGGGATCTCTGGGAGGCTTAGTGAGAAGGACACCTCATTTGGGAATCCTGTTTAGACAGATCACACAATCCCCATCAGGACAAAGGTGCTTTTGGACATGCCCAGAAGCAGATCTTGAGATACCCTGGGAATACAACTATTTAAATTGACATGCACATGTGGGTATGGAGCAGTAAAACAGAAAATTTGAGAATGTAGATTTTAGACATAGACCTGCCTAGACCCTCCTGTGGGTACTTGAATCCAGCTGTAAGCTATTGCCCTGTCTGTGCATTTCATTTCCCCATTGATGAAAGGGGAATAACAGTCCTTCTCTACTTTGCATGACGCAATGAGCATAAATACATTACTATTGTGTTATTTTCAGATATTAGGGAAAGGAGCACAACAAGAATCCTTGCCTTGTGTGATGGCATTTTTTAACTCCTTAGTTACTATTCCAAAAGAATGTGCTAAAACCCCCTTTTATTTTCTCCTTAGTATTACAGATAATACAAACATGTCACAGCAGCTGGTTTTGCTTTTGCATTACTATTAGCGACAAGCTACGGCTTCCCTTTTATAGGAATTCTCTCTGTCCTCTGTAAAAGGAGAATAAGAGGCTTATAAAACATACTCAGCTGGCATATCTCTAACAGAGAGACTGGTATTTAGGATTCTATTGATTAGGGAAAGGCAAAATATTTTTTAGTGTACAAAAGTAGCGTTCCTGGATTTCTTCCTCAAGGAGAAAATTTTCTCTGAAGAAGAAATGAATCCAAATTTAGGGAAAGACTAGGAGAAAAATGCTTTTATTTAGCTCAACGTGAGGGGTTTTTGCACTAATCCGCTGTGCTTTGGGGGGAAAAAAAAAAATGAGGGGGATCCATCATGGTTCTAAATGCAGCACTTTTATTGCAGGAAAAACAGCTGGATGCAATCTCAGCCAGATCTTCACTTATTACTATCATATTTACAACTGTCACCTCTAGTTCACATTTAAAGGTCTCAACATGAACAGCAAGTAGAAGGGTAGAAGCCACCAAGCACTGAAGAAAATCTTATCTAAAAACTACATTATACAGTTTGAAAGGAAATTACAACTTTACATGTTTCTAGTGCCACTTCTATGAATGCTATATAGCCTGGAGTTCTCATCATCTACCCCATAGGAATTGTAGGGCTAAGGTTTTGCACTGCTGATGTCTGTCCTCCTCCACAAATACATGAGAACAGATGGATTATCACCTTATAAATCAACAGAGATATCACAGTGTTATCAGTCTGTAGGAACAAGATATAAATGTGTCAAAATATATAGCCCATTTTTAAAGCAATAGCTGTGAAGCATTGCCCTGGAGACTTGAAGTTAACTTAATTGTGAAATAGCTTTCGAATCCTACAAAAAGTAGAGAGTGAGATCAAACAATTTACCAAGCAAAAGAAACTCTATTGAGCCTGAAGTTATGTTAAGGTGAATGTTCATTATGCTTTCTGCCCATGAGTTACTACTCCAATGAACATGAATGGTAAGAACTCAGACATATTTCCTCCATCAGGCTTCTAAATGACCCTTGCTGCTACAAGTTCCTAATGACCAGTTTAGTATTTAACTGTCACAGGGAAATGCCAAGGGCAAGAGAAACATTGAAATACTGGTTGTCAAGTGAGCTTGTAGGATTGCTGCAGATCTGCAATTTATGATGTACACTTTTAATTACTTTTTGGAAAGAAAAACTACCTTAATATAGTTGGAGCAGCTGTAGAAGCACTGTCAGAAAATGCTCGACATTCCAGATTAATTGGAGAAGCATCTGTGATCCCTTTCACCATCAATCACTGGAGAATATTGTCTGCCACTGGTTCGTTAATGGGGGATCCCGATACCGCTGTGAGAAGCAAGCACATGATATGAACATTCACAACCTTCACCTCATTTTTTTGTGTGACCCCTATTGTCTAGCTCTTCCAGCTGTTTTTGCACAACTGAGATGACTTTCTAACCCCCCTGACACAGCTAGCATAGCAACAGTTAAGTATTAGGATGTTCACCTGAACTTTCCATGCTTTCTCCAGCAGTTTCGTTAATGGAGTCAGGGCAACTAGCAGAAAACTCTATATGTGATAACTGCAGAAAAAGAAACACACAAGCAGGATGAGATTTTAGGGGCACTTAGCAATTCCAAGGTGTCTTCTCAGGAGATGTTCAAGACTCCAGTTCTAAGATATGCTCTAGTGTATAAACAACAGATGGAGTGACTTAAGTAAACATCCCTGTACCAGGACCTTAATTTTCTTTCAGATTATACCATCGGTAGTTTATTCTAGACGCATAAATCAATGGGAAAGCTCATCAGGAAGGTGAGCAAAATTTTTACCATCCATGAGGGGTCATTTCTATCTTATTGCCTGGCTCCTAAAAATATTTGATGATAAGAAATTGGCTTTAGCTTTTGCTCTGAAACCTAGAGGATGTTGATGACAGACTTTGAGGTGTACATGGTACACATGCCTATATGGTGTTAGCTTGTGCATTTCTGATGTCAGCTACTTTTATGGATGGGCAAGTACACAGAAATATTTGTAGTTTAGTTTGTGAAATGGCTAAAAATTATGCTTAGGAATTGCAGATAAGATTTAAAAGGTATATAATGAAGGCTTGCCAATGTGTTGTTTTTTTAAGGAGCATTGCAGCTACTGATCATGAGCCAACAGATGCACGGAAATCATTTCCTTGCTTTGACGAGCCCAACAAAAAGGCAACTTACAACATATCTATCATCCATGAGGACGCGTACCAAGCACTTTCAAACATGCCAGTACAGGTATGTATTTTCCAACTCTGCTGCCTAAATGGAATGGTTCTGTAAAGCCACTGGAAAGGTAGCATGGATCACAAGATCCTTGCGTGCTCACAGACTCTACCACCCAGACACTGTAAAGCTAATAGTTAGTAAATATTCCATAAAATAAGGCTGGTTGGTTGGTTGCTGAGGACTCCCAGTGGTCCACCAACACACAATGTGGCAATACAGAGCCAAATCCAAAGCAGAAATGAAACGTCTCTTCTGTCTTTAGCTAGATGGCCCTCTACTCAGATATTCTAGATAAGCATCCTCTACTGAGTATAAATAGGTAACAGCAAGTTCTTCAGTCAGACCAGGTAGACTCTGAGAAGGAATAATCTGGAAGACAGCTGCTTCCCAGATAGGAAGTCTAAAATGATCACTGAAACTACATAATGGTGCAAAGCGAGGGTCTGCTGATCACGATCTAATGGCAAAGGATCCTGCTAGCAAGAAAGTCTAGGATTACTAATTTTAATAATACAGGATCTGAAATCCCATCTGTCAGCTCATGGGTGTGGACACTTATCAGTCCACCATAACTGTAATTTCCTAAATAATCTATTTCTGGACCTGGTGGGTCAAATTCCAAGTTTTGTACAAAATTCAACGGCATCAATTGTCTGTCTCTGGGCCCTCTGGAAGAAGATTGAATGACTTTCAGCTGAGAGAGTTTCTAAGGAATAGTTTAACTGAATGTGTAGTCCAATGTATGATTTCTAATGAATATGTTCTGAAGCGGGAGATAAAGTGCCAAGTTTTTTTAAAAAAAAGAAAAAAAGAAAAGAGCTTCCAGCCTCCAGGCTGTTGGCAATAGCATCTTCCCAATCACTCCCCCGCCGAGAAAACAAAGGTCTGCTTTACTGTGTACTGCTTTATTTAAAGAGTCCTCCAAACCTTAGCTATCCCCTAGCAATGTAGTCTGATACAGCTGCCTCACAGACTCTTTGCAAATTAAAGCTCTGACCTATAGTTATTAAAAACATTTCTATGATACCTAAAAGAGCACCATGATGGATGACACATGAAAGGAGAGTGTTTGCTGCACCTTTCCTCAGAGACCTTAGATAAATGAGGATACCTGTAAGGAAGGTGAGGGGAAGAGGCTAGATGTTATCAAGATCTAGTCGGTTTTTAGACTTTACATCTTTACACGTGGACCTTGCCTCTAGTAAGGACGTACAAAATAAGCTTTCAAAGGTTCTACTGCTTGTTAACTAATTTGCTAAAATCCAAGTACAGGCACTTGGTAGATTACGCTGGGGTCATACTCAGGTTTGACTAATGTATGATAGCAGAGCATTTTTTCATCTGGTATGCTCACAAGGTCAGCAGTTCTGTTCTTAGTAGTGAAAGATCTTCAGGAAATCTTTTAAATGGATGGAAATGTAATAGCTTGTAAATGCAAGGCACATTGTATGTTACATGTTCTGTAGTAGCTTTGGTGGTGTGGAGCTTTATAATCAAGATGGCAAAATCAGCTCAGCAAAATTGGAAACTTGTACATTTCATTTGCATTTTTCACTAGAGTGAATTTTTTTTTATGTTTTTGTCACCAAAGTTCTGACTTTGTTGAAAGAATAAAAATTATTGAAATAGCATCAAAATGAGACAAGTAATGGAAAAGTAGTTTGTGAATATCTCTGTGAAAAGGGGTTTGTAAATGTATCTGTGAGAAAGCTTTTTTGCTCATGGAATCATATTACCTGTAACATTCACTATCTATGCTTCATTTATATTGTATTTATAACAAACAAATCTTACAAAGTATTGTATCTCTAGTAGAAGGTTAATGCCTTTTATATGCTGTTTGCTTTTGTCCTATTAAAGTTAGTCACCCAGTCAGAAGCACAAAAAATTATCAGATAGGCAATAGCAGATAATGAATAGTAGAAATAAATATTTAGAGAATGAATCACATAAAACAGGTTGTGGGTTTGGTCATACAGTTCAGTTGAGAGTTAAGGACATTTGGGAAAATCAGGAATGGCTTTTAATTGATTTAAAAAATAAAAACTATGGTCAGCACTAAACCTCACATATGTTTAAAAAACCCACCACTTAGCAGTACTAATTTGTATCTGAATGAGTTCAGGATAGATTCAGTAGACTGGTCCTTATCCTAAGCAGCATCTCTACAGCCCCTGATTCCTACACGATACATGTATTTAAGAGAGAAGAGACTCTCTGATCTGTCCAAAATGATGTTATTTTATGCAACTGTTTCAAGAACAAAACACACTAGTATTCACTGGAAAACTCCTATTGGCAAAATTCTTGTGCATGTAAGTGATTTTAAATCCTTGATGAAAATTAGAACCAGGTAAACTCATTTAGCAGAAAAAAACAAAGTCCCATTTCATGTATTGCAGTATTACAAAAAAAAACTTTTTGTCTGTTCTCATGCCATCAGCAATGCCATGCCAGAAGAGGTGAACATGAAGAGGTGATTTACCATTCCTACGTAGTCCCAGCCTCCATAGAAATATTGTACCCTCTCTGCATGTGTTTGCAATTGCAAAAATCAAATTAATTATTTTTCCATTTCTGCAGCAAACTGTACAGCTCGGTGGTGGCTGGACTCGGACAACTTTTGAGAAGTCAGTTCCCATGAGCACTTACCTGGTATGCTTTGCGGTGCACCAGTTTCAGTGGATAGAGAGAATATCCGCTAGTGGAAAACCTGTAAGTCCTGTTGCAGCCTGAACATGGTTCAGATAACAGATGTACCATGATTTGCATTTAAAAAAAAACCCAAAACATCTCTTTTTTAATACAAACAGGTACATATTTTTCCCTTTCCTATAGCCTGTTTTGTGCAGCCTATTTCATCAAATTAGGTGTCCACACTGGTCCATCTGACCCTGGCCACGTACAGTGTTTTGCAGTCCTTCCCTGCCTCCTGTCTTCGTGAGATCCCCCTCAGTACCTCCCATACAAGCACATCAGTGAGAAAGAAGCACTATTTCTCCAACCTCATCCCTGACTTAAAGCCCAGAGTCTGAGGGCATGTACAAGTCCAGGGTTACAAGACATTCACAGGCCATGGATACAAATACTTTAGAGTTTTCTGTGTGTTAAAAGGTGTGAATCTATGCACTTGATGTCTTCCTATTTACAGTCCTGGAGACACAGGACTACTATGCTATGTGCCATTATGTATTTGCTCTAATACTCATTTTACAACAGTGGCTAAAGGCCCAGTGTAAGTTCTTTACAAATAAGTACAGAAGTGATAGTGCCCAGCTAAACGGCTGGATATTTGATAAGTGCTCTAATGAAGTGCATATGTTTGAATCTGAATCCATAAAATTAAAATAGCACCTTTATCTAGATGCAACAGATAGTCCAATCCAGTTCTCACTTAGATTCAAATCTCCTGAAGGTGCAACTGATCAGTCATAAGGAGATCACGAGACATTACGCTGAATCACAACCTGAAAGCCTAAATACAATTTGCTTCTCAAAATAAACTCCTCATTTAGCCTAAACCTAGTCTGGGATTCTCAACTCTCTCTTAATTATCTAATGGTTTACATCTCTATTTTCAACTGAGACAGAGGATGATCCCAGGGCTGTGTGCTCTTGCTGCTTCCCCTTCCTTTCCCCTTAGGGGTGTAACACATGGTCTTGCAGTTCAGCTACGCTGGCAGCACTTTCCTCCTCTTCAGGAGGCAGTGACACCAATGGACAGGGAATCTGGACCAAAGCCCCGGCCAGATCGCTGTTCCCCTAGCAAGTAAGCTCTTCTTGACTTTCTCTATCTGAAAAAGCTTGGCAAATCCTTACTTACTTAAGTCTGATGTGAAAATCTGCCTTGCATAAATCTCTACGGTGCTGATCCAGTTCTTAGCAAAGACTTCCTGGCACAGTGCTGTGCTGAGGCATCCCTCTTCTATGCCCTCACTAACATCATGCTGTACATTTATATTATTTCTTGACAATTATCTTAGGCTAAATTACACTTAGCCAAGCAAATGGATCCCGGTTTGAGACAGCAAGGCAATATTCTTAGATCCCTGCTGCTTGGCTAAGTAATTTGCAAAACAGGAGAACATTTTAGGCCACCCAACCACACAATTTTGTTAACCAGATGCTCTTCATCGCAGCTACTCCATTCACTATCAGGGCCAGGACTTGGTTGTTTGGCTTCGATAGATATTCTCTAGTGTTTAGTTATTTTAAGAATCAGAATTTGTGCAGCTTTTGGAGAACATAGTGCAGTAGGAAAAAAAAAAGAAGTGATGAAGAGGTATGTAAAAATCTTTATTTTCCAGATGCAAAAGTTAACATTCTCTGCCTGTCCTTGCCACACTCCAGAATATGGCCCTGAGGTCAATATTAGTTTTTTTTTTTCCCCCAAGAAAAACACTAAAGCCCTCAGTGTTCCTGACTGATTGTGGCTTTTCTAAATAGGGGGGAGTGTTCATTGAAAAATGGCAATTAAAGTGTGTGTGTAGAATCAGGTGTATTTGTGTCAGTATAGAGGTTGCCTGAAGAAACATCTTCTAATTCAGGCCTTGGTTACTACATATTTTGTTAATGCCACTCACTAAACAATGTCTGAGGACTTGCCTGCACTAGAAAACTTGGGTTTTAAGTGAGGTTAAAATCATAACCATTTCTTTTAGCATGGACATTGTTTTACCAATGTAAAGTACATGTATAACATAGGTTTTAATTAAGGGAGCCACATAAACGTCATTACTAAAAATTACTTTTTCCCCAGGAACACCAGGCTCTCTTTAGAGTTTTTAATCAGATATTTAGAGAGTCCTTCTTCTAACCAAACAGTTCCTTTCCAAAAAATTTGAAGCCCAGCTGAGCAAAGAGGTATTTAGATTCACCAGCTACTAAAAAAGAATATTCCACAGTTTGCTGTATAAGTTTCCAGCAATAAATCCCTCATCCAATGGAAAGTACCAATGTGATCCATATATTCCTTTCATAAACAACAGCAACAGCATAAAGCTCACATGACCCGGTAAATTGTTTAAAAACTTCTGTTCACCCTGAAAGCCGTCTCCCTAACAAAGACATTGATGGAATCAATGGCAGGAATTCTGCCTACGGCTGGAAACAATGCTCCTGAGCTGATTACCTGTCAGGTACCAAAAGTCTGGTTTGGAAAATCGCAGAAGAGATTATACAAATGAAACCCAAAGTCAGTTCTAGCGCACTCTGAAGATTTTGGAAACCATTAATATGGATCAGCTAGGGGACCAAACACTGCTAAATTGGGTAAAGAGCTTACTGAAGTGGAAATTGCAGATTGTAATTGCAAACTGACCCTGAGGGAAATCCCCTGGTTGGAATGGATTCCCGATTGAATTTCATAAGCTTTTTTTGGTTTTGTTTTTTCATTGCAGCTATATTTCTGTCTACTTTCCCATCCTCCCCTCTCATTGGAGGAAGCGTAATTTCATGGTACTGAAATCAATGTGTTGTCGGGCTCCAAGAGGGCTCCAAAAGCAGGCTGGAGCCTTTGCTCAATTTGGATCCTAAACTCCTGGCTGTAAGACAGCACTGAGAAGTAAACAAGCCACACCAACACAGCAGAAGAATGTGGCCCATTCATAGATGAGAAGGATTGGTTTTCCTAAAGCCAGAATCTTTTCTCCATCTAAAGATCTCTTACATTCCATACCGGAGATTTCAGGGGACAGTGAAGAGAACAGCCTACAGCTTCTGCCAGTGGACACTCCAGTGCTATGGCTCTGCTCTGGGGCAGATATCTGTGTGAGCTTTGGGACAAAGAAATTGAGGGAAAGACCCTCAAACGATTCCATAAATTCTGAAGTCAAATCTTATCTTGACGATGTGGAGATGATGTCCAAAAAGGCTTTTTCAAGCTGTAAACCTCATGGTTATGGGTGCCATAAGGACCTTAGTCCTCCAGGACTTGAGGTTTCCTATTGCTTGATAGTAATAGTCAAAGCAGTCCCAAACACCAAGTCTCAGGGATGGAAAGGTCAGCACTCAACACACCGTTTTTTGCATTCAGGAAAAAACATATGTTCATATATGCAAGAGGAGCACAGAAATGGTCACTGAACTCACACAGGGCTACCAAACGTGCTGGTTTTCCCGGACCTGCCTGGTGGGAAGAGAGACAGCTGATATTTGTCTGGGATTTCCAGAGGCGCAGCAGCCCAGCAGGCACCGTAGCTGTGACTGGGCGGCTGTAAGGCCTGAGGTCATGGGCAAACAGCCACTCGACCTGCATGGGCTAGCATGCCCAGGAAGAGTGACAGATCTGGTAAATGCACTGTCTTCAAAGGGTCTGAGATTCCAAACATATAAAGACAAGAGGAAATTGTGATAATAGTAAGTAGGAAAGGTAGGAAGAAATTGAAGAAAAAAAAGGTGTTATGGGCTTTAGATATGTTTCAGGACAGGTGTGCTCCTAAAGATTGGTCTGATGGAATCAGTCCAGACCAATGAACTGCTCAGAACAAGTGGATTCCCTTCAATTGTGCTTGCACAGGCTACCTCCTTGAGAAAACCAGGCCTCAGGGAAGGAGAGGCTGGTATGCACCCAGGCCCTGCTCCAAGCTTGGCCATTGTGAGCTTCTGGACCTGGGTCTTGCCAGCTTTAGGCATACTGTGGAAAGCGTGCATAGCTTATGTTGACTTGGTCTCTCTTACATACAACATTTGAAAATATTTTTTGAATAAATGTTTAGGGAACAGAATTCAGTGTTCAGGCCAGTCTGTTAGAGAAAACCTGCAGTGTTATAGGTATGTATGTTAAATAATTTTCAATGCTTGCCACCTTCTAATTTCTTTTAACTGAAGACTGTTATAATTGTCTCCTTGTATTTTACAGCTGAGAGTTTATGCCCAGCCACTGCAAATAGACACGGCAGAGTATGCAGCAAACGTGACAAAAATTGTATTCGACTTCTTTGAAGAGTACTTTAATTTGAGCTATTCTCTTCCAAAACTAGGTGATTATTAATACTTATATTTTCCATTTTGTTTGCTCACTGTCACAGTTCCATTTCTCCTACAGGTCTCTGTGCTTTGGTGGAAAACATCATGAAAGCATTTGTTGCTAACTGCTGATATTATGTCAGGATGTTTTAAAACTGTACCCATGTAGTTCAAGATATTCTTAAATATCATGATGGAAAGTTGATACCAGTAAGAGTTTAGTTACCAGTTCTCACAGTTCAGTTTGCTGAATTGAAGCACCAGTCCTGACATGGTTATTTTAAAGTGTCTTGTGGAAAATCAGGGGGAGCATTCATGTCATCAGCAAAGGAACATCATGAGCTAAAATAGAGTCAGAAGTTTTTTGACAAAAATATATGTCACTTCCATGGGAACTTCTGGATAAAAGCCAGCAGTGAATAAATGAAGATGTAAACTGTCAGAGAGTATGTCATACTATTTATTAACGTTAGTGCAACATGGGCATGTATTCACTTCTTAGAAAGATTAATGTGGTTCAGCATATAATTTGTAGCTTCTACTGCTGGGCTAAATAAAGACCCAGAGCTAAACAAGAGTGGGCACACTGTCAAATTTTGCCCGTGGTTACACAACAAGAAAAGAGAAAGTAGTGCAGTTGGGCATCCTTTAGCTTGGGCTCTCTGGACTCTGGATCTGGTTTGTGCTGTTTTAACTAATAAAGTTGGGAATGTAATCAGAGTTTTGGAAATGCCCCCTCCTAAGACCTCCAAAGAGGTAGTTCAGTTAGGTTCATGAACTTAAAAGGATGGAAAAATATTAACTAGAAACAAGTTAAGGCAATGTAATAGGGAAAAAACAAACCCAAACTTTGAAGATGATTAACAATGCTATGCAAACCTTTTGTTGGCTATTCATGCATGTACCTGTAAGGCTAACTTGTATTACCTTAACAACGGATTTTTACCTCCTCCTTTCAAAATATCATGTGAGTTTACTGTAAATATCTGTTTTTGTTTCAATGACAACTGAATTAGGGAAACTAGTAAAATGTGTTGTTCTTTCACACACTGGTCTCCAGTAATAATTGGGACTATATTTCACCTATAATTCATATTCAAACTTTCATTTTCATAAAAGTCTGATGACTTTGCCATGTCAGTGTACAGATAGGGGCCTGTCTATGCTACAGGGTGGACTAGCAACCTCAGGTCAGCAGTATCAGAGGGCAGATGCTCTTGTAGATTTTACACTGTTTTTCTCAGAATGTCTATTTGTTGGATCACAAATCTTGTCTTACTATGTTATTCCCTCATTATTAGGGAATTATTAGAAGTCATCTAGATCAAACCTGATGAATCAAATATGTTTCTGCATAATGATTTATTTAAATATTGTAATTCACATTGATTTATGGCTTCTGGCATTGCCATTCTCCTTGTGATCCTTATTTTGAATGTCAGTGAAGCCCTTGCCCGACTATCAGCTTTGATTCTGTAATCAAATTTTTAAATTAAAATAAGTAATTCCTATCTTCTGTTAGGGTGGAGTGAGGGTTGTTCATTCTATTCAGTTTTAAATCCATCTGTACTTTTTCACTAACCCACATAGAATGGCTGTGGTCATTATTTGCAGAAGAAAATGCCAGTCCAGTTGAGTCCACAATTCTCATTTAAACCTGTATTGATTGCTGACTATAAATGAGTGACCCCCATAAATTGCTAGGAGTAGAAGCAGATGTTGTTCACTGCATGGGGGATTTACTTCAGTTAACATGTCAATAAATATTTTTAATACAACAGTGTGACAAACAATGACATGCCTCATTATGCTACAGATATTTTCAGGAGGTTTACTGCATACAGCACATCCCCAGACAATACTATTAATTTCTGGAGCCAAAATTAAGCAATGTGTGATACGCACGCTCCCAGGAGGCGGCATAGCGTCACGTCACAGGACAGATCCTCAGCTAGTGCAACTGATCCTGATCTCAGCAGAGCCACGGTGCTTGCTATCAGCTGCTCTAGGCCAGTTCCCTGCTTCTTAAACACAGGTTATAGACTGTAGTACACAGCAGTAAGCCAGAACCATGAATGGTAAGCAAAACACGCTGCGGATACACAGAAGGAGGATGAGCTAAATGGCTTAAAGGATACAGTGGTAATCATCTTATCTTTCTTTCAACGTAGATAAAATAGCTATTCCAGATTTCGGGACAGGTGCTATGGAGAACTGGGGGCTGATCACATACAGAGAAACAAACCTGCTGTATGATCCCAACGAGTCAGCCACTTCCAACAAACAGAGAGTAGCTGCTGTGATAGCCCATGAGCTCGTTCATCAGGTACATTTTCGAACACGTTTCATTTCTAGAGTGCTTCAAATGCATAGTCACAACATTTTAATCTTAAAAATATTGTCATTAACTCTGTCTCAGGATCTTCTACATGTGCTCACAATTCAATTGCAAAATATCGTGTTAAAATGTTCACCATTAGAGCTTTAAAGTACCGTAACTACTGCCTTTGAATTTTTCTCAGGAAGTTAGATGTTTGGGTCCAGACGGTGAGCCAGCTTATGAAAATCAGTCTGAAATGTCTTAAAGGAACTAATTTGCATGTGCAGATGTCTCTTTTGGGCAAGAAAATAAGGACAACTAAACACTGTGGAGGCTGTCTGAAAACATACCCTTACAAGCACGAATCATCAAATCAAGAAGAAGAAACTAAAAATATATTCAGTGGCATATGAATCATTAGCAATCTCCCCAGTAATATGTAATTTTATAATAAAAGTGATGTTTTAACACAAGGCGAGACCTGAATTCCTAGTTAAACCCCAGAATTATGATAATTTTCATCTGGCAACAGGAAGAAAAGTGAACCGACGAATGTTCTATGTAGAGATGTGAGATGCTGAAACGTACATTTACCATTTAGCTAACACTATGTCTTTCAATGTTTACAATTGTAGTGGTTTGGAAATATCGTGACCATGGACTGGTGGGATGATTTGTGGTTAAATGAAGGATTTGCCAGTTATTTTGAGTTCCTGGGAGTAAATGCTACAGAACCAGATTGGCAAATGGTAATTATTTGTGTCTTGTGGCGGGCTGGTGGGGCTGGGGGGAGCATTTTGGAAGTAAAAATTAGACAAGGATGATGAAGACTTCAAGTATATTTATAGAAAACTGACATACTGCTGTTCACTATAAAGAAAAAGTTGGTTTAAGCTTTTCCACCTACCTGTGTTATGGTCTGAAACTAGTCAAAGTAAACTTTGTAAAGTTTGAGTCTGCAGAGAAGACTCATTCTTTTTTAACAAGTGAGTGAAGTGTTTGGTTATAATTATGGCAAATAATACCTAGCTGGATTCTGGACAGAGCCTTAGCAATTTTGCAAGGTTGAAGACAGAGATTCCCTTTCATTTATTTAGTTGGGCTGTAGTGTGTCCTTACAGGACTTGTCTTAGGATCATTATCTGACTTGGTGAGTGCTGGGAACCTGGACCTGTCTCCACAGCTTAGGCTATTCATCAAGGAAAATATCAGATCCCCTATTCAGCTGTTGCCAGCATTTTAAGTGTCATTTCAAATGCTTCAACTCAATCTCTACTCCGCACAGCGCAAAAGTAGTGATAGTGAATGAATGGCCCACAGCACTAACCGGGCAGCAAAATCAACTCCAATCACTTTAAGCATGTTGCAGACAAAAAGGGCAGACTTAAATATGCATTATGCTCTGAGAAATCTTAACAGTGCGTGAATAAAGGGAGGTTTCTTGTAGCCTCCTTCCTCCCCTCCCAAACAGATATGATGGCGCTGAGCATACATATTTCCCCTAGCTGCCCAGGTGTAGTGAGATTCTGGTTACTAGAAAATAAATAGCATATGCCAGTGGAAGGAAGCAGGGTAGGTTTTGCATAGGTTGAGCCCATTGTCAAAATCTACTGGCCCCTGAGCCTAGTGACTTCAGAAGCAGGCAGTGCCTACTCGGTCCTTCCCCTGCCTCCCTCCCTGCTCCCTCTTCTCATCCACGTTATGTGAGGCTGAGAACAAAATTATTCCTGACACACTTTTAATATTGAAGTAGAGGACCTGTTGCGTTAACTACATAAGAATAATTTTAACTACTGAGCCTAAAATTTAAAAGACATTTCTGTATCTAGACACCATGTTAATTTAAGATCTAGAGCCGTTTCACTGTTACATCCTAGTGAGTATTAGAAAAGAAAACTAAATAGAAATTAAGTGGATTTTGGTCCATATTGATTGGGAAGTGAGGGGATTTTGACTGCAGGCCACTTAATCTTTTAAAAAAATTTTAAGTACTTTTAAAAAGTTATAAACCTTGGGATGGGGAATGCTGCCTCCTTCCTCCCTCCCTCCCTAGCTCCATTTTTGTAAGAGGAGCCCATAATGCTTTGCAGATATTATCACACTGCTGAAATTGGTAATACAAGCTCCTTTTTTTTGCCTACTGTGGGGGGTTTTGTGTTATGATACACATGGGAAAATGGGATTTGCAAAAGCAATTTATCTTGGTTAAGCAAAAAATTTATCCCTCCCCGCTCAGACATACAGTAAGAGTTTGCAAGTTCTTCTTTAGATAAGGTGAAATTTCATTCAATTTCCAACTGCCTCCCCCTAGAGAAGCTGCAGTTCAAACTACTTATTTTATGAAGTTAGGTGTATAGTCCTGCCTTTGTTTCTATTCTAACATCTTCTCTTTCTCAGCTTGAACAGGTTTTAATTGATGATGTGCTTCCTGTAATGAAGGATGACTCTTTGTTGTCTTCCCACCCAATTGTGGTCGACGTGTCATCTCCAGCTGAAATCACCTCTGTGTTTGACGGGATATCCTACAGTAAGGTAGGATATTCTCCTGTTGTGACTTTGGATGCAAAGAAAGTTCAGGCTTGGGAGAGGAGATAAGAGTCAGGGTAGCTGGTAATCAGAACTCCTAATCCACTTGGGCTCTGTCTGTGTGGATGCTTTTTCTGGGACGTTCCTGATTGCTGTCAGTGATGATTCAGTCACAAGCAACTGTGAGAGGAGCAGTGCAGCCAGAGCCTCAATCAGCCACTGTGCGCCACGCAAACCAGCTCACAGCATGCAGAGGTGCAGGGAAGTCACAGTGTCAGCAGCTTCTGCCACTAGAGTTGCCAGTTTTAAAATCATCCTAAACCAGATGCTAAGCTCATCCCTCTCCCGTCACCTGAAGTGCTAATGTAGCCCAGTTATGTCAAGCCTCATAATCTAATGCAAGGGCAGATGATGCAAGGGCAGATGTCCAGGTGTCCTCTTTTTCACTTCCCCATCACACCTTCAGGGCAATACAACTTCTATTTTGAGGAGGCAGGGCAGGGAACCAAGCAGTGAAAACAGGAAGTAACTTTTTGTCTCATTTTGCTCACAGTATCCCAGCCACCCAAGAAGCCTTAGCAAAGATGGGCTACACCAGCCTCTACTGACATCGGCCCTAAACTGGGAGATAAGTTAGCTCCACTTTTCACTGAGAGTTGTGGAGTTCAGGACTGACTTGGAGCGTAGTAATCTGTAGCCCAGGAGGTGATAGAGGACACTTGTTTGACATGGTTTTTGCTCATCCTGGGGCTGTCCCTGTCAGTGGTGGTGGGAACCAGTGCCTATAAAGGCTCTCTCAGGAGCTAGCTGGAACTGACTGGAAGAGGCCTGTGTGGATGAAGAAGGAGCTCCAGGACACAAAGAGAAAGAGAGAAGTTACAGAGAGTGCAAGAAAGGACAGGTAGACTGGGAAGAATACGAAGAAGTTGTCCGAGCAGCCAGGGATCAGTTAAGAAAAGCCAAAGCCCAGACAGAATTAAATCTGGACAGGGACATCAAGTGTAACAAGAAAAACATTTATAGGGATGTCAGTGATAAAAGGAAGACTAGGGAAGCTGTGGGCCCTCTCTGGAAGGAAACAGGAGAACTGGTCACAAGGGATATGGAGAAGGCTGAGGTTCTCAATGACTTCCTTGCCTCAGTCTTCACTGACAAGGGCTCTAGTTGCACTGCCCAAGTTGCAGAAGCCGAAGGCGGGGATTGGGAGAAGGAAGATCAGCCCACTGTAAGTGAAGATCAGATTCGCGACTATCTAAAGAACCTGAAGGTGTACAAGTCCATGGGACCTGATGAGATCCATCTATGGGTCCTGAAAGAACTAGCAGACCAAATTGCTAGGCCACTTTCCATCGTATTTGAGAAGCCATGGCTGTCAGGGGAAGTGACCACTGACTGGAAAAGGGGAAACACCATTCTCATTTTCAAAAAGGGAAAAAAGGAAGACCTGGGGAACTACAGGCCAGCCAGTCTCACCTCTGTGCCTGGCAATGTCATGGAGCAGATCCTCCTGAAGGCTCTTCTACGGCACATGGAAAATGTGGAGGTGACTGGTGGGAACAAACATGGCTTCACCAAGGGAAATACTGCCTGACGAATCTGGTGGCCTTTTATGATGGAGTTACAGCATCAACTGACTAGGGACCAGAAACTGATGTCATGTATTTGGACTTCCACAAAGCCTTTGACATTGTCATGCATGACATCCTGGTCTCCAAATTGGAGAGACATGGATTTGGTGGATGGACCACTCGGTGGATTAGAAATCGGTTGGATGGTTGCACTCAGAGAGTTGTGATCAATGGCTTGATGTCCAAGTGGAGACCAGGGACAAACAGTGTTCCTCAGGGATTGGTACTGGGACCAGTGGTATTTAACATCTTTGTCAGCGACATGGACAGTGGCATGGAGTGCACTCTCAGCAAGCTTGCTGACAACATCAAGTTGTGTGGTGAGCTTGACACACTGGAGGGAAGGGAGGCCATCCAGAGGGACCTTGACAGGCTGGAGAGGTGGGCCCATGCAAAACTCATGAACCTCAACAAGGCCAAGGGCAAGGTCCTGCACCTGGGTTGAGGCAATCCCAAGCACAGATACAGGCTGGGCAATAAATGGATTGAAATTAGTCCTGGGGAGAAGGACTTGGGTGTGCTGGTGCATGAAAAGCTGGACGTGAGCCAGCAATGTGTCCTCACAGCCCAGAAGGCCAACCGTGTCCTGGGC